GCATGTGTGGAATTGTGTGGCATCATTTACCTCAAACAGGAAAGTAGTTTTAAGTAAGCTACATGTTCTAATGATCAAATATAAGCTCTACTGGTCAATCAATAAAGGATGACAACCAAAGAGACCCAAGGGTAAAGAATGAATGACCAGAAAAAGGACAATCAGATTGTGGGATTTTAGATAAGTTTTATATTCATAAAATCCAATAGAGTATTTTTGGCTTTAACTGTTTACAACAGTTGCATCCAATACAGTTGATTTCACTAGTGGCAACTGGAATCTCTGGTCACTTGAGTTCTGAGTAACAATAGCTATAGCACTGTTGTTCTTCCCAGGTTGGGGTGAGAAGTAACTGGGAGCTGTGTGCACTATGTGTAAGTGACACTCATTAAGTGCTTGCCATTGGCATCTGGCAAAGCCAGGTACCCCTAAAAACATTGCTAATATAATACAAATACATAAAAAGAAAAGTGAATATTAAAAATATAAATTCCTCCCCACACTCCTAAATCTCTTGCCTCATTTCACAGTTTCTTGTACATTTTTCCTGAATGTTTAGGCGTTCTAAGTTACCTTGAATAGCTGGTTAGAAAAGGTCATACAGTCTATGGCCACACCATAGAATGTGCCCGATCTTGTCTGATCTTGGAAGCTAAGTAGGGTTGGGCCTGGTTAGTACTTAGATGGGACAAAGGGTCATGTAAGAAGCAATTTTTAAATGCCAAAAAAAAAACAAAAACCAAAAAAAAACCCAGTGTTTTGCACAAGATTCTAAAAGGGAAATATTTATAATTTATAACATTCCTTAAGACTATCATCATTTAATATTATTAATGTTATTTAGCACAACCAAACCAAATACAGGTCTTTGTGTCTAGAAGGAAATTATAAATATCATTATTGTTAGCAGCTTCCTCTACCTCCCAGCTTCATATGAAACAGTCTTTTATTATTCTTTCTTGGTGTTAGGACTTACCAGGCCTTCCTGCAGGACAGGTAAGTGTTCTATCACTGACTTGCATCCTCAGACTTATTATCCTTTTAAACATAAAAGAGATGTGTGTGTGTGTGTGTGTGTGTGTGTGTGTGTGTGTGTGTGTGTGTATTCCTAAACAGTTCCAGAGCTGCATCCACCAAACATCACTGAACATGGTGGGTGCCCTTATTCTACACCAGCTATAACTTATTATTATTAATATTTATTAACAACCCCAATTCTGAAAATGGCTTACTGGGCTAACATTAAAAATTCAATGATCACATTAAACATCAAGGCCCTACTTTAGCAGTGTGAATGAGCACTGCACATAATAAAATGCTAAAAACACATTACTTCTCCTTTTTAAAATTTCATTCCAGAGCTTTATTTTGCTATAATTTGTCTTAAGGGTGAAAAACTTCACAAATTATTTTGACACTTTGGCTATCTTTACATTCTAGTAGACTTTTAGTTTCAATTAGTTTACCTGGGCAATTAGATTTGCATGACCTTTTCATGACTCCAAGGAGAAAATATTTTTCAATCAAGGATTCAATAAAAAACACCGCAATAGCCACAGTTGCTAAAATAATAGTATACGCTTCTGGTTGACTGTACTCTTCAGTGGTAGCATTAAGCACTTACAGAGTGCTTACTATGTGCTGGTTCTGTAAGCGCTGCTGGACCCACACTGAGACTCAGTTATCATTATAGAGGGTCAACCCTTCAGCAAAGGCAGCAAACCTGTCTAGTTTGTTGGGACTAAAAATGAAAGCTCCATATATTTTTTTAAAAGGGAGGAGAGAGCCACACACTCACATTTTGGGGCCAGTCCTGGGCTCTTCCTGCCAGCCACTAGCCTTAGCAAAATATGCATAATTCCAAGTCAATTAAAAAACATGATGCTGTTTAACACCTGTCCAAGTAAGTTGAGGCCTAGGGCATTAACTGCTTGCCTGCACAGGAAAGACATCTGCAGAAGACCAAAGGTGAATAAAAATCTTGTCAAGGCTCCCATTCGCTGGAGACCTCCAGCCCTGTCTTCTTTTGTCTACCTGACAGATGCTACCTGCCCTCTGGCTATGATTCTCTTTACAGATCTGTACTATCTCAGCATTTCAAATATGTATGAGAACTATAGAGTCCACAAAGATTTAAAAATAAAACAAGAGACCAGACCTTCCTCTCTCTGTGTATACAGGACAGAAGAAAGCAAAATCCAAACCCCTTGCTGCTCTCTTGGCATTAGTAATTACTTACCATCTAGGTGGGTGAGTGTCTAATTAACTATTCATCAATCTCAGAGATCTTCCTTCTGTCTGCCTTTCACAATTTCTAGGCAGGAAATCTGAGTCTTGGTGGAACTCACAGTGAAGGAAAAGAAACTCCATGCTGCTTCCTCTTGGCCAAGACACCTCCGTCTGTCTACCTACTCCGCCTCCTTCCTTTGATCCACATTGTGTTTGACTATTCCTTTGTCCTCTGTTCTACCCACAGCTCCTATGCCCTGAGAATCTCAGTTCACACACCTCCAGCCAAATGTTTGACTTGCTTCATAATATTTTTGGAGACATAACTTCTCTAGGAAGTCTTCCAATTATAACAACTTTCTGCTACACTAACCATCTTTACACAAGCGAGGCGTTCATAAAGAGTGCTATGGTGTGTAGTGTTGCTGGCTCCCTCAGGTCTATGCAGCAATCCTTTGGGGGTGCACATATATGGATCCTGCTACTGCTATATTCTGATAGGTTATGTGCTCTACAAAAGACTTCTTGACTTTTACTGGTTGCTACAAGTATTATTGTATAGAAATTTATATCTCTATATAATTTTACATTAAGATTACTGGGACATTGCTATCACCTGTTGGTGTCTGACAGGCTTTTTAAGCATAGGTGTTTTATAGAAAAAATCTATAACTTATTCAAGGCATCTCATATCAATCACATGCAGCAATGAGTAGATAAGGATTTACCAGCCATGTATTTGAGATTCAGCGTTTGGCCCACTAAGCCACAAACATCATCCTGTGAATAGAGTCACCCAAGTGATAATGTTTGCCCTGAAATTTTTTTTAAAACCTTGATTTAAAAATATATAATATAATTTTTATTCTTGGTTTAATACGTAATCTTTCATAAACACTTTAGAATAAAATCTCAAGGAAAATAGTACAACAAAACTATTAGAACTAATGAATGAATTTAGAAAGTTTGCAGGATATGAAGAAAATATACAAAAAATTATAGCAACACCTGGAAATTGATATATTAAAAACAGTACTATTTATAAAAACAGCACAAATATAAAATTCTTAGGTACCACCAAGTATATATACTGTTTATATGCTAAAAACTATAAATCAATATTGAAAAAAAGACTCCTAAGTAGAGACATTCTGTTTATGAAGGATTAAATTTTGTTAAGATATCACTTCTCTCCAAACTAATATAGATTGAACACAATCCAAATCAAAATTCTAATAAGACTTTAAAAATAAATATTGGAAAACTGTTCTAAAAAGTCAAGGGAAATAGAATAGCCAAAACAATCTTGGCAAAGAACAAAATTGGAGGCTTCACACTACTAGATTCCAAGACACAACTAAAGCTAAATAATCAAATGTTGTCCTATTGATGAAAGGATAGAATTATGAATAAGTAGAGCAGAATAGACAATCTAGAAATACCTATATACATATATGGTCAATGAAATTCAGGGAAGACATAGTTTTTTCAACACAGAGGTGAAACCGTTGGACATTCATATGGGAAAAAATCAATTTTGACTCATATCTTGTACCTAACATAAAAATAAACTCAAAATAGAATGTACTTGAATGTAAACTTATTAAATATCTACAGGCAACTGTAAGATGAAATAGTTGTGACCTTATGTTAGGCAAATATTTCTTTGATATAATATTAAGCATATGAAAAATAGATAAATTAGATTTTGGCAAAATTAAAACCTTTCCTTCTGTGAATACTGCTATGATATTAAAAAAGACAAGGAATTGATGGGAGAAAATATTTATAAAACACATGTCTGACAAAGGACTTATAGTGAGAACAAACAAAAAATCTAAAACTCAATAAGAAAAATATAATTAAAGATGGGCAAAAGATTTGAGTAGTTGTTTTACAAAAGAAGATAGATGGCAAATTAGCACATGAAAATATGTTCAACATTTTAGTCATTAAGAAAATGCAAATCAAAACCACAGTGTGACAATGCTAAACTCTATTAAGTCTAACATGAAAAAAGTGGCCACAGTTAAGTCTCATGTGTTGATGGTGGGAATACAAAATAGTACAGTCCCTTTCTGGTTTCTTACAAAGCTAAAATAGATTGCCATATGTCCTCCACAATCCCATCCCTAAAACTTTTGATCCAAAAGAAATGAAAATTTGTGTACAGCCATGCCGCCCTGAACATGCCCGATGTCATCTGCTCTCAGAAGTTTTTAAGGGATAGGGAATTACTCACATATACATCTTTTCTTGTTATAGCATCCTTCACGAAGCAAAGGTTTAAATATGCAAGTTTGCTGCTGCAATTACTTGGTCTTACATATTCCAATTTGAGGATATAATCACTTGACTTTGCAAAAGTATAATCAAATTTGGTGTAATTATGGAAGTTTTAGTGTGTTCCCTAACCACTCAGGTTATGGCTGCCCATGCTGTCTCCTCTCACTAACCCATCCATGTTCTCCAATCACCAGCTATATCCTCATTATCCTCATCTTGCTTTCAGTTTTTTAATAGCATGTAACACACTAGGAAAGGTTTCCTCTTTCTGTCTTTTACTTAATCTACAATTTGAAGTGCCTTATTAGGATTTAAATTCCATAAAAACACAAACTGATCACACTCACTATAGTATACTTAGAACTTGGACCTGTGTGTGGCACTTAGTAGGTGCACAATTAACATTTACTGGATTGTTAAACCTGCCCCTCGATTTACTCATATCTACTACAGAATGACCAAAGAAAATGCATCACACAGTTTACCTGCAAAGAGGTTCTACAAGGTCCTTTTCAAGAAAATCATGATCATTCTTGACAGCCACAATGTTAATGGGAAACTGTGAATCTGAAAGAGGAAGGGAGAGACAAACAAGTTTATGTACATTGTTTTACTTGAATGGGCATCAACATAATCAGGCCACCAAGATCTATACAAGTCACTGACTTTAAGTCATTGCTCATTACCATTGTTGGTGGTGTTTAAAATAGCAGACAGTTTTATGTCTACAAGCAGACAGTAAATGCTTTTGAGAATACAATATAAGCATGAAATATGAGATAATCAAGTATACGACCTTGGCTTTAATACTAAGTGCTTGCATATTTATAGCTCATCCTTATTACAGAATTACGCTGATGTGGATTTGAAGAACTTTTATACTCTCATCATCTACCTAATGTGTACACCACTGACTTTTATCCTGATGATTTCATGGACTAGTTTGGCAGATTTATTTTTTCCTTCAAAAAGGATATTTATTTATTTATTTTTCTCAATGAGTTTATTGTTACATTTTAGGTATACAGTACAGTTACATTCATTATTGGGATCTTGTCCCTTTACATAACAGGTCTTAGTTCTCATTTTTTCCCCTTGTCCCTGCCCACCCTTCACCCGCTCCTCCCCTCCCCATTTACAAGCACTGTATTTCCAATTTTTTATTTTCTCATATTTTTTTCTTTTCCCTTATAACCTTTCCCCTACCCTTCCCACTTTCCCTACATCATTAGCCCTTTTCTTCCTATTTCACATTGTCAATTATATCTTTAGGATCTTGTGTACTATTATAGCTTTTCATACCAGAGAAACTATTTGGTATTTACACATCAAAAAGGACATTTACAAATTTACAAAAACACCCAAGTTTCAATGGTCTCAAAATTTTCTTTTGTAGCTAAACATTGAGTTACTTCAAAGTGTTAGCAAAATATTCAATTGATTCTACTGAAAGAGAAGAAGAAGAAATTCCAACACCATAACTTTTCTGCAACAAACTGTTCATACCAGCTGGAGAGATCATCAGCCAATATTCAGAACATGATACTAATTTTAGGTACCTCATTTACGTAGCTAAAAATCTGAGATCATTAGCATAGAGGCCCTAGTAGAATTTAAAAATGCTGCTTCATTATCTTTGTCTTGCCATTCTTCCTCAGTTCATATTTTGTCCTGCCTATACCTTGCCATTCATGATAATCTGGCATGGGTATCTAACTCTCAGTGTGAGTTTGAAACAGAAACAATTCCTCTTCTGGTGAAACAGATAAAGACTGTCCCAGGATGAAGACTATCTCATTCTAGGCAAGTGAGTTTGTGTTGCAGTGAAGAACACAAACTCTGAAGCACAGGAACTCTTCCTATGAGTCCTGATTACATATTAGCTGTGGAACAATGGGCAAGCCACTTAACTTCCTTTGGCCTCTGTTTTGCCATCTGTAAAATGGAATGGGAATGATAGGTATCATATCTATGGTATGATGGTTTGTGGATACAGAGTGGATAGTACAGGTGCCTCTGAATAGTGCCTGGCAAATAGCATAGAAGTATTTGTTCTGCTACATTTATCCAATTTATATGGCTGAAACACAATCTTATAGGTATATGTGACTTGTAAGCTATCTTTACCTCTAAGACATTTACACTTTTTACATTTAATTTCATAGTATTTTCAGTTTTTAAAACAAGTGTAGATATAGAAAATATATTGTCTTGTGGTCAAGAGACTGGGATTTTAGTTCTGACTCTCCCATCTTTCCAGGCTTCTCCTCTTTGATCAGTGAGTTGTGAGAGAGAATAAGAGTAGGGGAGAATTATTTAGACCTAAACTATAAAATTCCTCTTTGTCTAAAAGGCTATGATTCTACGAAAACTTTTATCAGAGATCTCAAAGTCCAACATCCAAAGAAAGATAAGCTCTTCTTTATCTCACAGAATTTAAGTGAGAGAAATAGAAACATTGCTTTGCTTTTTAATATAAACTGAACTTCTGGATGAAGAGATGGAAGGCATCAATAAGTAAAGGCTAATTTTGTTAATCTTTCTATCCTACACAAAATTCACGCCATCAGGAAGATAATGTTTAGAAAGATAATGTCGTGTGCTAGGTAGCCTCTATTTAGCCCTGCAGATCTACACTTCACTTTTCTGCACCCTGCTTTGGGTCCCGAGTCACCTCTGGGGACAGATAGCAACTAAGGAGACTTGTGTCATCTGGCTTCCTTCAGTTTGATCCGTGAGAAGCACTGGCCGGAAATGGAAGGAAGAGCTTGGGGTCAGGGTATTTATCCCCCTGGTCTTTCCACAGGAGGCTGCCCATGGTCAGCCGCGTGCTCTCTCCAAGGAATGGTCTGCTCCGTAGCTCAACTTTGGGCCCCAGCACCATCCCCTTCTGGCTGTGCCTTTGGGCCTATAGTAGTGACAGCTCTGCTCTTACAAGCCCTGGGTTCCTATGCTATGCACTGTTACTTGTGGATTCCTATTCCTGTCCAAACGTTTGCCGTGGACACTGTTAAGAATAATCCTCCATAAGGAGTCTGCTTCTGCTACCAACCTAATTCACTGTACACAGGATGACTCAAGAGAGAGTTAAAATCTTTGGTTATAATTTTAGACATAAGTAAGATACAGGTGAGTACATTTATTAACTGTCAATGAAATAATCAATTAAAGATAGTATAATGTTAGCAATAAAAGCTTCTTACCAAAAACTCAAAAGAATTAATCTCATCCATATTATACCTTAACATTTTTCCATATATAGCAAACAGAAATAAGAAATAATTGCTGCAAAGTAATTACTTTGGAGACTTCTAAGAAATGTATTAACTACTTCATTTTGGTTTTAAGAAAATTGAGAGTGGTGAAGAAAAAACAAGGAAAAACCACAGAAGAAAAACTGTATGGAGGAGCTCGTGGGAGATGGAAGAGAATGTAGAGTGGCCAGCAGGGGGTAAAGTGGCTTTGAGCAGAGACACTCATCTCCAAAGCAGTGTCAGGATAAGCCCTTGGCACTGCAAAGGCTGAGTGGAAAAGAAATCAAAGTAGTGACACATTTTCAAACTGTTCTTTTTACAAAGAGTGCAGAGAAGGTGACGTACCTTCATACAGCTGAGCATATTGAGGGAACCCAGCAGCACGGAGCCAGTTACATGCTTCCTTTGCCTCAATTTCTGAAAAATACAAGAAAAAAAGAGGAAAATTATGAGTTTGTTAATCTTGCATCCATATCCTTGCACTCTGCCCCCATAATCAAAGAGATGCTTGTGAGCTTTGTACAAGTGAGCCCAAAGCAGAATCATTCCAGCTTGAGTCTTTGTGAGTTGGCCTGCTCAGAGATGGGTGTAAAGTAGACAAGCAGCACAAAGGAACCTGTTATGCACCTACTGAGATTATCTTCACTGTGGATCCATAAGTAAGGGGAGAATAACAAAATCACAGATGATAGAATGCAAGGGCTGGATTTCAGGCAGAGAAAAATGTCCTGTTTATACCCTAGAGAACCAGGGGACTAGGGAGAAGGAGGGAAGACTTCTTTATGAATCCTCTTTTTAATGGGTTTTCTTTAAATTTCAAAGATAAGGATGAAAATATTCAATAGTCTTTCATTCTTTCTCTCTTGGGATAATGGGGAATCTTTGAAAATCTATTTTCTCATGAAGAAAGAAAGGCATTAAAAATTCAATGTGTTAGTATTTTTAAAATTTCACTGATGGCCTCAATTCCCAATGCATTTTAACAAGATGTTCATTCATTGAGCACATTGGAATGATTTCAAGCTCAAAGTACAGCATGGGAAAGGAAATTGAGCCCTGGGTTTCATGAGGCTGCCAAAATCAAGAGGGCCAAGCCCAAGAGGTTGATATGTCCTTTGGGCGACCATTTGTGGGATGGGCGTACCCACAGCCCACCAGACCACCTGCCTAGGGAAGCTGTGGGGTGAGATGGGTGGAGTCCACTGTGTGAAGCAGCTCACTGTTTGACCTTGTGAATCTGGATCACTTCTCAACCACAACTCTGTTAGATAAACAAGAATCCAAGGGAAAAGAAGTTCATCCGTCTAAAGTCCAGTTTCTCCAAACAAAATTAAACAGCCTATCGTACCAGGTTTCTTCCAAGGCTTTCTTTTGCTGTTGGTTTGGGCCCTTGTCAGGTCACTGTATTTCCATTTACTCTGATGTTTGTTTTCCTCCATAGCCAACACTGGAGAGTACAGGCTCCTCTCGGAGCCACTGCACAAAAATGATCCACACTAACACTGGCCCTGCACCTGAGATTATACATCATCTCTGTTGAAAGCTCAGTACCTACAGTATCTGTAATGTTGGGTGCAACAGAGCCATTTTGAGTATGGTAGGTAAACAGGCCAAAGCGAAGAGCAAAAGCTACATCCTTGCCTCACCACTGCGGCTGACCCAAGACAGAAATTTGTCAGTAAATTTAAGGAGTCACAGTCTTTTGGCGACTCATGTCCCAAAATGCCTACTTTTCAGCATCTCCTAACCCTCTGTTATGCCAAGGATTGACAATCTAAACCTTGAGTTTTGTCTCTGATGTGAGGGTTTTTCAAATAATTTTGACCAACTCAGACCTAGCATATATTAATTTCTGCCAACTACACATGGTCCAGAAATATCTGGGTAACAAGTTGAAAATAAAAGCTTTGGAAAACATTTCTCTCAGGAAGGACAGTCTCAGATCCTCAAGGGCTGTTTAAAACAGAGATCTAGCAACATTGTGCTGCTTTGACTAAGGTGGGCTTTCCCTTTGGGCAGTAAAAAGGGCAATTAATGTATTGGTCCTAAATTCTGTTTAGTCAAGAGTCCTTAGGTGAAGCCTTCCTCTTTGATAAGCATGGGAATGTTTCAGATTAAGTAGGAAATGCTTGCTCTATTTGCAACATGCAGTAAACGAGTCTTACTGAGGCACAGATCAAATGTTGTCTTATAAATTTTCCTTTTCCTTCAGTATGATAGTGAATAGTAATGAGGAATGATTTCTAGATAAGCTCTAAACTTAATTATGAGTCAGCAAGTCTTAGAGGAAAGTACAACATTCTGTATTTTCCGTTTAAGTTTTAATAATACTATGTCTTTTTCTTGTCTTGTTGTTACTTTTACTATGATCAAAATTAAATGTTAAACAACAGAATCCCAGAAAGCCATAAAGAGTAAATGAAGGAGACCTACAAAATAGGGGTTTTACAGCATTCAAAGTTCAAAAGAGAGTAGGTTGTTATGTTCCTGGGACCTTGGGACTGGGAATAATACAAATGAGGTAGAAATGGACAACCAAGGAAACTTTTAGAAAAACTCCTTGTGAAATGAAAAACTCCTTGTGAACCTAAAAACTTTGGTCAGGCTGTAAGATGGAGAAAATGTCAGGTAGGAAGATTTTATTTAAAAGGCTTTCCAGGTAACTTTTTTTCCATAAGAGCAATGTGGATAATGAATTGAAATCTTAATACACAAACATGAATAATCAAATCTTAACCAGATCCCAGCTACATCAGCCACTCAGATAAACTGCTGTCTTTATTTATATTTTTTAAAGGGTTGGCATTTCACTGTTAGTTGACTTTCCAGAGTCAACTAGAAACAGAAACTACAATGAGTGAATGATAACAAAATAGAAGAAACCACATCCCAACCATGGCAGATTTCTCCTTGGGCCACTGTTTGACACTTTCAAATACTGTTCTACTCATTCACACCTGCCTGCCTTTTACATTCCTCTATAAGGCCCAACTGCATGCTGTTTACTGGAGCACTCATTTCACGTTTAAGGACACACACAGACTGAAAGTGACGAGATGGAAAGAGGTACTAAATGCAAATGAAAACCAAAAGAGAACGAGAGTAGTTATTCTTTATCAGGTGAACATTAAATGAAAACCTATAACAAGAAGATATAATAATAAAAGAGTCAATTCTTTGAATGGATGTAACAATTTTAAATACATAAGCAGCCAACACTGTAGCACATAAATATATAAAACATGTAATATATTATTAGTTTAGTGAAGAGAAAGAATGCTGGTCCAACAATTCAGCATCTAAGTTTAAGGGCAAAATAAACTCTTCCTTGCCCGCCAGGGACAAAACAAACAAAATTACCTGGCATAATTAACCTCTATCAAATTTGATTATGCCCACCAAATTGAGTTGTATTTCTATTCATCCATCTCTAAAATCTTAACCAAATACCAGCTGATTTCTTGTGATCCCTCACAGTTCCTACTACCATCTATCAGTCAGATGATAATATTTTCCTCAGAGCCCTTATTACTGCTAAAACATAGGTAAATAAAAAATGAATCAGAGTCAGTGTCATCATTTCTCAAATCTTACTTAATGAGATTTAAATGACTTTTGGGAAAAAAGTGTGAAATCCTCTTTTTTAAGGGGCTCTTCTTAACTAGCATCACATTATGTAAAAACATTAAGAGCTATTAAAATAGTATTTTGACAACTTTGTTTGCTATTGGCAACCATCACCTACCCAATAGCACCTTCAGGGCTACAGTATAAAGCATCAACTCATTGTCACTTTTTTGGTGAAAGTCTGAACCAGAAAAAGGGCATTGGACAGAGAGCCCCACAGATATATACTCAAATTACTGAACTTCAGTAGTCCTCTTTTTTCTGCAGGAATATAGTCTAAGACTGCCAGCAGATTCCTGAGAACCTTGCAATACTGAACCCAATATATATATACTGTGCATTTTTATCTGATAGCTGAGATGACCACTAAGTAACTAATGCAAAGGTAGCATATATAGTGTGGATACAATGGACAAAAGGAGGATTAACATTTCAAGTAGGACACGATGGAGTGATATGAGATGGCACAAGATTTTGAAACTCTCAGAATATTACACAATTTAAAACTTATGAATTGTTTATTTGTGGTGTTTTCACTTTAATATTTTCTGACCTAGGCTCACTGTAAATAACTGCAAATGTGGAAAGTGAAGTTGCAGGTGAGGAGGAGGGACTACTGTACTTTGCTGGGAAAAAAATGCAACCCATGTAGCTGGGTATTATGACTGAAGTTGGGTAAAATTTTTGTATAATAATCATTTCATTTTGCTTTATAGCAGGTATCTGTTTTTGCCTGCCCAACATTCTTCCCAATTTCTTCTGATAACAGAATTCTCAACCATATACCTGGCCCTATAACCCCTCCAGCTTCCCCAAAACAGCTCCAGGGTTAAAATCAACTCATGAAAAGGATCTGTTCCTTAAAAGCATCCTTCTCTTAGTCTAGGGAAACTGAGCAACTTTACAAAATGAAGTTAATACTCATTTGGGAGCAGAAATCAATTGGCTGAAAGGGAGAAAGAGATTCAGGTTTTTACTTGGTAACTTGGCCTGTACTGAACCATGCAAACCTTTTCAGTGGTTTACTCAATAAATTTAGTTGATGCTTTGGTTTTGTCGTGGCATGATTTTCTGCTATATATCTGTGATTTCATGTGAAAGAGTCATTGGTTTTGCCTCAACTGCCTTACTTACACTTATACACAAATTTGCTGTACTCAGTAAACTCTTTACTTGACAGACAGATAACTGCTTAGAACATGATATGACAGCTCTCCAGAGACAGACTAGGCAGGGGAAGGTTGATGCTGAAGGGGTGCATGTTATTATGGGCAGGAGAATAGAGGCACTATGGAAACAAACCCTGGCCTATGATACATTTGCATAAAATATTGTCATATTTCTTATATATGTGTGTTTGGCTTTAAAAACTTCTCAGAGAAAATTCTGAAAGTCACATTTAAAAAAAAAATCATCTCTTGTCCCAAATTACTGACACATAATTTGATGTATGTTATTTGTCATAGTGGTAGTATGATAATAATACCTTGGGTTGACTGCTTATTTTAAACATAATTATACACTGTGAATATTTTTCATATAATGGCATTGTTTTATAAAAATGGAAAATTTACTTTGTTTTGGGAATGATGTTTATTTTTTAAATACTTGATTTCTGAATACCACCAAATTGTATTTTACTGCTGGAAAGTTATAACATCAAGATAACCAAAATAAAACATTTCAGTACGACCTTTCCAGAGAAGGAGGTCTGTGTGAATTAGAGATTTAGCTTCTGTTTCTTTAAAGAAATGTTGATTTAGTGACTTGGCTACACGTAGTCTAGTGCA